AAAGATTGCTTAAACATTGCTTAAAAATAGTTATAAATTCCAATTCCTGTGAATAACGTACGAATTTCGAACTGCAGTTCCGGTAAAAAGGGCAACCTGTTGCCCCTGTGCTGCCACCGCACTGTTTTGGGCAACAGAGGCAGCTACCCGCGTGGCTCCGGTGCCCTGTGTCCAGTGTTGGTAGTATTCTACAATAAGCTTCTGTGGTTTGTGTCTGAACTACTTGAAAAATATATCTCAAACATGGAGGTCCAGCGTGGTGGAGGTTCAGCCTGAAGCACTGGAAAAAGAGAAGTCAAACATGGAGATACAATGTAGGTAGCCAAAAATAAAGACGTAAAACTTAGCGAAAGGTTAACCACCTTTTTATATTAACAGTCAGTGGTCAAAATGGAGAAAAAAACTATAAAGGGGTTACGCCTGTTTTATGGTTTTGCAAGGAAACGTTTGGTGGTTTGCCATTACTTTTTTCCATTTTCGCTACTTTTTTAGCTTTTGCAAAATGGCAAAACGTAAAGGAAAATTTTTAGATTTTACCGTTTTGGCCACTTTTAACTATTTTGAAAAACCGTCAAAAGTAGCTAAAAAATAAGGGCCAACCATTGGCAACAAGGGCCGCCGAGAGGGGGGGGGGCAAATTGCCCCGGGCCCCAAGGGCCCCTAGAAATTTTTTGCTGGGCCCCAGTCACTTTTTTGGGTGAAATATTTCGGCGCAAAGGGCAAGATATTTGGTTTTTTTGGGCAGAGTACCGAAATTTGGTATGAAAAATCGAGGTTGTTTTTAAACTTATTTAATTCGCAAAATATACGGAAAACAGACGTGAAATTTAACATAAACAAAAATTTACAAAAAATATGAAGTTACTTTCGTTTTGTACATATTCGGGGAGTCCGAGCCCCTGCAGTTCCTCGAACCAGTCTCTTTCTCAGTAATAATCAGTTTCTACTCTGGAACATCCTCCCGCCCGATGCAGGAAGTGCATCAACTTTCATTAACTGACAAATGTCAACAAACTAGCCAATTATTGTTCAATGTTTACTTTAGTCCTGCTGCTATGTCAGCATCACAAGTTTCTAACACGTGTAGTCTTTGTACAGGACGACGGGTATGGCGGCCTGAGGGCAAACGTAACGTTACAGATCGGATCAGACCATCTCTTCCTTCATGCGTTGCCTCAACACGGGCTTTCGGCCACTGTCCTCTTGGAACATTATCCTCACTTACGAGTACTACATCACCAACATGCATTTTTCGACCAATATCGATCCATTTCTTCAAAGTGGTTAACGACTTAAGATATTCCGCATTCCATCGCTTCCAAAATCCATTTACCAAACGTTGATGATATTGTAATCGTTTCTTTAAGGCGTTGGAAGTGTGCTCCGTAACTTTCGTATCTTTGCTTGGAAACGCCTGTAAATTTCTCCCAATGAGAATCTGGGCTGGCGTAAGGGCCTTTAAATCATTTGGTTCAGCTCCAATGTAAGTAAGAGGACGACTGTTAATTTGAGCCTCGATCTCCGTCAGAATGGTGGTCATTTGCTCGGCGTCTAACATTGCATTTCCAAAGATTTTCTTCAGCGGCAACTTAACACTTTTCACGAGACGTTCATAAAATCCACCCCACCAAGGGGCTCTGGGTACTATGAATTTCCATTGAATCTTCTTCTCAGACAAAGCTGTACGGGTTTCTTCGGATTCCAGGATTCGCCAACAACTCTGTAACTCTTTTTTAGCACATTTGAACGTTTTTGCATTATCTGACCAAATAATACTACACATGCCTCTTCTCGCAACCATACGTCGTAACGCCAGCAAAAACCGTTCAGTTGTCATGTTGCTTACCAATTCTAAGTGTACTGCACGAGTGACAGCACAAGTAAAAAGGCAAATATATGCCTTTTCACCACGGTTCTTAAGATACAAAGGTCCAGCAAAGTCCAAACCAACGTTTGTGAATGGAGGTGCAGGTATAATTCGGTCAGCTGGAAGAGGTGCCATTTGTTAAGAGACAGTCTTGGTGTAAAACTGACGACACACTATACATCTCTTTACGATTTCGGATCGTAGCTCTTCCTTTTATCAACCAAAATCTTTGACGGACCACTGACAATGTATGCTCAACGCCAGCATGCATTTCACGACGGTGAATAGCTTGAACAAATAATTCTACATCAGGATGATCACTAGGTAAAATAATGGGATGTTTCTCCTCCTCGGGCAACTCAGCTTTATGGATTCGGACACCAACACGAAGCAAACCGGTAGACTGACACAAGAAAGGATTCAAGTTTCTTAATTAATTAATTAATTTCTCATCAGGCCGGTTTCGCATTACATTACGGTCCAATTTTCTAAAGTGAATATCTCGGCGAGTATTTACCCCCCTTTAAAACAAAAGACACCATTAAAATCCTTACATAATAACCTTTCGAACGGGGGGTCAAGTGCCGTCAGAACATTGACACAAAGCGAAAATCATATATTTATACTCACCGCTTGGCCAAACAGTCTGTGTTTCATATGGAGAAAAAGTTGAATATCTTCTAAACTTTCGTCGTTTTTTGAAAGGTTATATGAGTAAGATACTCTTTGAATTCAAGAGCTTTCGTGTAGAAAGTTTCGTTTGAATACGCCGACTAGAAATATTTATTTCGAATTTTTCAAAATATCGGGTTTTACTCTCACACGCGTGTATTACGCAATACTTGACCAATAAGGAGCTCCTTTAGCCGGGATGACGTCAAACTCACGCGTATAGGTGCACTTTGACCTGTAGAATCCATTTCTGGCATTTCCACAGTCACGCGATGCAAGCATCGCATTGTTTTCACGATTTTTCTCGTATTTCCGATTTGGATTATTGCAAATTTAGAGCAGAAATGTAATATTCGGCAGTAAAAGTCGCACTTTAAAGATATAAGCTTGAAAATTAATAACACTCTACATGTTATTTTTAACTGCTTAATCCATCAGGAGTATCAGAATGAGCATGCGACTCAAGGGCCCAAAGTTATGTTCGGCGAAAGGTATGTCTATGTTTATAATTTGTTAGTAATATTGCGTAATTTCATCATATACGAGCTCGCTTGACTTTCAAAGCTCATAAATCGCTACAATGTAGTCATTGACTAAAACCATCGTTATAAATTAGTATATATTTTTGCAGTTAGTCGAATGGTGGTATTTTCATCTACATAGCGTTTACTGAACCGAAGATATGAATGAAACATACTTAGTACGTGCATACGTACTAAGTTTAATGGGCCGTGCTTTAAAAGAGTTTTAAATTAACTTACTATCGTTCAATGCTTTACTTTGTCGAATCAACAAAATTTCCTCTGAAAACCGTTCTATTTGGATTCGATTGACCAACCAACGTTCTGACTCTTGGATTTCGAATCCAGTTAAGACATTTTGTCTTCTTTTGTCCTGCTTAACTTGAGCATTGTGGATAAATCTCTTTATCCATGCTATTGTTCTCAATAACTTATAGTACTTGCTGAATCTGGTAAAGTCAACAAATATCTCTTGTGGTTGTATGACATAACTATTGATACTGGCTTGATGCTTTCTCTCAATCTCAACATGTTCATTTAAAGATGCCGATTGTAGATCCTTTGGCCATTCTTCTTCAGAACTTCTCAACCAGGCAGGTCCTTCCCACCATAACCGACTTTCTTTCAATTCATTCGAAGACATTCCTCTAGTGGGTACATCAGCCGGGTTCTGTGGTCCAGGGCAGTATTTTTTTGCTTCTTTGTCAACTAGAGACCACGCGTACATAACACGGGAACGGGAAGATCCTTACATGAATAAATAAATATAATATGTTGTTGCTTCGTTCTTAAGAACTCACGCAATATATCAACATAATTTTGCTTCTTTGTCAACTAGAGACCACGTGTACATAACACGGGAACGGGAAGATCCTTATATGAATAAATAAATATAATATGTTGTTGCTTCGTTCTTAACTCACGCAATATATTATATAGCAATATAATATATGTTGTTCTTTCTTTCTTTCTTTCTTAAATTAAGAAACCTACACGCAATATGTCAATATAATATGTTGTTGCTTCGTTCTCAAGAGATCAACTGGATCCAATGGAAAAATAATATGCAAGTCAATATAGACATTTCTTAGCCTATATCAATAATATAACAATATGTTGTTGCTTCGTTTTTAAGAACTCACGCAATATATATATCAACATAATTTTCCGTCGTTCTCAAGAGACCACGTAAATAACACGGGAACGTGAAGATCCTTATATCAATAATAATATAGTATGTTGTTGCTTCGTTCTTAAGAAATCACGCAATATAGGCTATCAATATAATATGTTGTTCGTTCATTCGGTTAAGAAATCACGCAATACAGCAAAGCATAGGCTAATATGCTATATACGTCGTTGCTTAATTTGTTCTCAAGAGACGCGCAATATATCAATATAGCTAATATAGCACTTGCTTCGTTTTCAAAAACCACGCAATATATCATATAGCAATATAATATGTTGTAGTTTCTTTCTTAAGAAACCTACACGCAATATATCAATGTAATATGTTGTTTCTTCGTTCTCAAGAGACCACGTATATAACAGGGGAAGGGAAAGATCCTTATATCGATATGATATAATATGTTGTTGCTTCGTTCTTAAGAAATCACGCAATATACTATTAATATAATATGTTGTTGGTTCGTTCAGTTAAGAAACTCATCACGCAATATAGCAAAGCATAATATGCTATATATGTCGTTGCTTCGTTTTCAAAAACCACGCAATATATCATATATAAATATAATATGTTGTTCTTTCTCTCTTAAAGTCTTGTTTACACTACAAGCCTTGGCCTGGCCTTGGCCTACATTTTGGCAGTGTAAACACACTTTGGCCTAGCCTTGGCCTGACCTATATAGGCCAGCAAATCTGGGCCAACTACAACCGGTGCCCAGGTCTGGCCTACGCTTGTGGGAATGTTTTACACTTACGGCCCTGGCCTTATTTTCATGGCAACGTGCGTCCACAGGGCACAGTGAGATATTATCGGCGAGCGGACAACGCCACAACACATAAAAATACACAAAATTAATTACAAAATTCTAGGCCAAAGTGACCCATTCTCAAAAAAATAATGTTATGGTGTAAACGCGCAACATTTACCAAGGCTTGTAATGTAAACATGACTTTAGTCAAAGCTGCTAAAACTACCGCTTATGCGCAGGATATAACCGTCGTGGGAACAGAATGTAAACTCAGAAAATCTTTGGCGGTGTGTGGGCGTCTTTTTTGTCGGAATACGACGTCTTATGATGCATTTAATTATAACGTTTCCTTTAATTAATTGCCTCCGGCTCCTGGTCATCTTCTTGCGCTCTGCCTATATCTAGTTCACTCCATTTCGAACGCAAAGTTCTATTAATCTAAATAAAGTTCTATTTAGATATGAAGATGGACATATATAAATATATTCTAGGGTTTGTTGAAGAATATATTTGCCACAGAACAATTTTGCCGTGAGCCTATCGCATATTTTTAGGGGTATATATACCAACTTGAGATATTACCTTATGCCTTATATTCTATATATAAAGTTTAATTGTGTTATCAACCTATAATGGTTCAATAACAATGCATGCAAACGTATTTGACGTTGCAAATGCAAAACAAATAAATTAAATGCAGTGGGGTACTTAATAAGCATCGACACTTAACCACAACTCCAAGCGTAAGCTATACCTATATTTATGATAGAAAAAAGGACATTGTGAGTAAATTTTTGTTCTTTTTTGTCTTTGAAACCCTCATGAGTATCATTCATGCTTTGTGTTCTTGCTTATATTATGTCCCCAGTGAAAACCGGGCTTCACACATTGCATTTTAAATATTCAGTTGAGCATTGGACATCACTTATGATGCTTTTTACTGAACATAATTCGAAATTATTCCACAAATTAAAGTTGCTATTTTTAGCTAGCCTGCTCAGCAGCCCCGCATTTGGGCTGAGAGCAGCCGGCTACTTTTTAGCGAAAACCGCAAATTTAGGGCATTTTTCGACTCATTAGACATTACGACTTTTACGCAAGACTTTTTACGCACGGCGAAACACGACTTTTCACCCAGTCCCGCCAAAACTCAAACATAACAGGCGGCATGAATTCAAGGCAGGTAATTGATGTTCGACACGGAATGACCCTCATCATTATCCAACCGTCTCAAACAGATTTTTTTGGGTTTATGTTCTTTTTTTATTCGCTGTTTGTATTTTAAGCACTTATTAATTGCCACGACTTTTTACAAAGACTAATTAGTTTTTCACGCAGAAAGACGTCTTGCACTTTTGTTAGGTTTCCATCGGCACACAAATCTGCAGTTACATGGAACGCACTCGAATTTCAGGTCAACTGTCAAAGCGATACATCCGTCTAGCTATTTATGTATTAAAGGCTATAATAACTGAATTTTTTAATTACATGTGCTTTGTATGTACCTTTAATTTGCAATTCAGTGGCAGCTGCTACAAGGAGATCAAGTTTTTTCTGTCCTTTAATAAAACATAAAAGAAAGGTCGTATGGCGAAATAACATATGATGATACATGCACGTGTCGGCAAAATATAAATACTTCCTATCTTACACGTTCACCATAATCCATGACAACATATCAGTATATCAGTAGTGTTATATAACAGTCACTTCGTTTCCTATGCCAAACTTGTATGCAAATTATGATCGTAATTGTATAACATCTCATCTTACATCGCGTCAAAATTGGTAACAACTAGTCCTTGGTCATTGCCAACGCCGTCGCTACTCGGTTAAACTGCTCAGTTTCGTCAGTGCTGCTGTTACCAAGAAGAAATGAATTAAAAATGTTTCAATACAAACTTTCCAGTTTTGACTGCCAGTGCAGTTTTCCTCACAGTTCTTCCACAGTCGAAAGCTTGTGTTCAAATCCAACATTTTTAAATCTTTTCAACGTATTTTTAATGTAAGCCAAACTCACTACGCACGACATATATGTTTCATAATTAGGGAGCGGTCATTATTTATGGCGGGGGGTGGCACCGAAGAGAAAACGGTTGGGTAAACAAAATTTTGAGTAAGTAAAAGGTTGGGTAATTGAAAAACAAAACAACTCAAGGGTTGGGTAATAAAAATTTATTGTCATTTTCAAAGCATGACCCACTGAAATATCGGAGACTGAAAAGCAATGCCAACAGCTAGTCATTTGTCAATACAATATGTGAATCAATCAGAGTCACTATCTTGATCATTTAATTTTGACAAAACAGATTGTGTTTCCAAAAAAGTACATGTGCAGACAAAATGAAACTTTAGACTGCAGAAAATTTCACAAGCCGTTATCTGAAACTCATGTCACTGAAATGATCAGGACATGTATGACAACTGAATGGTATCCTTTTGTCAAGTTTTTGGCCAGGGATGGGAAGTGATTTTTTAATTTATATTTGAGGTTGGGTAATCAAATTTTTGTCTTTTTAATGGTTGGGTCAGCAAAATTTTTGACACGGAAAACATTTCTCTTCGGTGCCACCCCCCACCATAAATAATGACCGGACTCTTATATATCAATACTGCATGGGAACGCCGAAAATGTTTAATCCTAGTCGGATAGAATTTCGCGGCGGCTTCATGTTTCATGCTGTTCTGTTTATAAATTTAAACTGATAATCTTTGCCCAATATACTCTGTAGCTGTACTCACATGGTAATTCTTATTCTCTACATTTACACTAAAAATACAAGTAGAAAAATAAAAACTTAACAAGAACGCAATAATGAATGAAAACAAGAATGACTACATATTTCAATCTGCTAGCAGTCACTATTACCTAACTGCTCCGGCGATACGCCCGCACGAATCAATCACTTGCCCATTTGAATCCTGCTTTCGCGTCTATGACTATGACATCTTTCAAATTTTTCAAAGTATTTTAAGCCAAAGTCAGTACGCGCGAACGAAAGTGCAAACGAAAATCTTTAATACTAGTCGGATAGAATTGCGTGGCTTTTGACATATATTACAGTAAAATGTAGTAAACGGCCAAGCAGCAGAACGTTTTATACTAGTAACCTTTGCCCAAACCTCAAATATACATGTCTAGATCTGTAGCAATAATAGTCATATGGTAATTTTAATTGTCTACATTTACACACGTTAACAAGAACACAAAAATAAATAGTGAAAACAAGTATGATTGCATATTTCAATATGCTAGCAGCCACTATTCGCTAACTGCTGTAGAAATATTATGCCCGCATGCGAAATCACTTGCCCATTCGATCCATCTGACAAATATTTTTCCAACGGAAAACACGGTGTCCAATGGATCCAATGGATCCATTGGACTCTTTCGTTTGGCTATCTCAATGGCCTTGTATCTACATGACGTCCATGTGCTTGTCATTACGTCATTCAAATACATGGCAATTGACCAACTGAAAAAGGAAACGTCCGATGGATATTTCACTTGTCCATTGGATCCAATGGACAAACAAAATTCCAATGGACATTTCCAGGTCCATTGGATCCATTGGATCCAATGGACAGTTTCGTTTGGCTATCTCAATGGCCTTGTATCTACATGACGTCCATGTGCTTATCATTACGTCATTCAAATACATGGTAATTGACCAACTGAAAAAGCAAACGTCTGATGGAAATTCCACTTGTCCTTTGGATCCAATGGACACGCGAACGACCAATGGACAATTAGAGATCCATTTGACAAATGGAATGTCCAATGGCCTTTTTTGATTTTTCCATCGGACATCTTGCATTGGTATTGGACATTAATCGAGAACTATCGAGCCTATATTAGCAACAGGCTTATACCTCTTGACAAAGGTGAGGGCGCGGTTCGTCCAATTGGCGTCGGGGAAGTTATCAGGAGGATTGTCGGGAAATGTGTTATGAAAGTGATTAAGCCCGACGTGATTGATGCCAGTGGATCGCTACAGGTGTGCGCAGGTCTTAAGAGCGGAAGTGAGGCAGCCGTTCATGCGATGCACTCCATATTTGAAGCAGATGAGACAGATGCCGTACTTCTGATTGATGCCTCAAACGCATTCAACGCACTCAATCGAGCGGCTGCACTCCACAACATAACAGTTCTGTGTCCATCTATGTCAACCTACGCAATTAACACCTATCGCGAACCAGCTAGACTATTTATATCTGGTGGAGGAGAGCTCAAGTCCACCGAGGGTACCACACAAGGGAATCCCCTGGCCATGGGGATGTATGCCATCAGTCTTCAACCCCTGATCACCGGATTGAATGTGTCAAGCAATGTTAAGCAATGTTGGTTTGCTGACGACGCGAGTGGCGCGGGATTTCTGGAAGATATCAAGCGATGGTGGGAACACCTGAATGAAGCTGGCCCTAATTTGGGATACTTTCCAAATGCTAAGAAATGCTGGCTGATCATAAAGCCTGGAAAAGAAGAAAGTGCTCATGCTATTTTTGATGGGACAGCGATCAATATCTCTGCACAGGGGCAAAAGCATTTGGGCGCTGCCTTGGGTTCTATGGCTTTCCTGGAAGAATACGTCAACGGCAAGGTAGAGGACTGGGTTAGCCAAATCGTCAAGCTAGCTAAATTCGCAGCGTCACACCCACAAGCCTGCTATGCCGCCTTCACCTTTGGCCTCCGCCATCGATGGACGTATTTTCTTAGAACACTTCCAGATATAGAAGATTTACTGGAGCCCTTGGAGCGTGCTATTGCTGATGTCCTGATACCATCAATTACGGATCATCACTGTACAAAGAGTGAAAGGGATCTCCTGGCACTCCCAGTACGAATGGGCGGTCTTATAAATCCTAGACAGGATGCAGCACTGCAGTACGAAACGTCGATAAAGACCACAGCGCCACTGGTAGAGAAAATTATCGCACAAGCCTACGAAATTCCAGATGACTCTGTTATTCACACACTGCAGCAGAATGCGCGAAATGAAAAGAACGAAGTACTTCAGGCTAAACGGGATGGTATTAAGAACTCTCTACCCCCGAAAACACGGCGTGCTATGGAACTAGCAACTGAGAAAGGTGCATCTAAACTGGTTAACAGTTATCCCCATTAAGGAAATGGACTACAATCTGAACAAGGGTGAGTTTCGAGACGCAGTAAAGCTGAGATATGAGTGGAAAATTGCTGATAAGCCATCAGTATGCGTGTGTGGCGATACTTTCAATATTGGTCACGCAATAATCTGCAAGCGAGGTGGGTTCATCATACAGCGCCACAACGAGCTGCGAGATCTTGAGGCTGATATGCTTAACATCGTCTGTAATGATGTCGAGGTTGAACCCGTTCTTCAAGAGTTAACTGGCGAGGTTTTACCAAGAGGAGCAAATACAGCATCCGACGCTCGCCTAGATATCCACGCTCGAGGGTTTTGGGAGAAACAAAGGTCCGCGTTCTTTGACGTTAGGGTTTGTCACCCCAACGCGGAATCCTACAAAGACCTGAGCCGTCAACAGATATACAGGCAACATGAAAACGAGAAGAAGAGGATGTATGCCCAAAGAGTGATGGAGATAGAACACGGAACGTTTACACCACTAGTATTTACAACGACTGGAGGCATGAGTGAAGAGTGCAAGAGGTATCATAGCAGATTGGCCGAGCTCATAGCAGCGAAGACTACTGTACGACCATGTCCTGGATACGAGCCAAGGTCTCCTTTGCCATCTTGCGGTCAGATCTACTTTGTCTCAGAGGGACTAGAGCACCCAGGAGGATAACTAAGAACGTTCAAGAAACGGACTTCGAAGTAGACAATTCTCGTGCCAAAATTTAGGCTTAGACTTTTACCATAAATTCTTGCTATAACATATACTATAACATACTACAACAATTTAGATTCACTTCCTTATATATACTAGTAATTAGTTATTAATGTAGTAGGATTATTTTATAAATAAATTATTATGGATTATTATTATTATTATTATTATTATTATTATGCGTTACAATTAAGGCAGCAGATCAGCCTATACCTAGATTTACTCGGCTGGCTTTGGCAGGTATCTTTGGCAGGTTTGGTCTAAATCACCTAGTCCCAGCCTTCTCATGTGAAAAAGCGTTGAATATTAAAAAAAAAAAAATAATAGAAGGCATAGGTCTAGGCTGGCAGCAGATGATGTTCAAGTAGAAGTGTATGAGGCCGATCATTTTCGAATTTTGTTAATATTTCGCAGCATTTTTTTTTATGGGGGTGTGCAGAAGCGTTCAAGTTGAACATTAATTAAATGACATCTCATCTAATTTTATAATAAAGTTTAAAGAGGTTCAGAGATTTGACTTCCACTTGACCAATCAGATGCGCTCCACCTATCCGATGAACCAATCAGATGCACACAGAGCAAGTGAGAGGTAGCGGTATAGCGGTAGTGGAAGTCAAATCTGAATCCCTCTTTTATATTCATTACAACAACTCAACGCGATTCCTCACTAACGGTATTGCGGCATTTCCAAGGTAAATCGATTCGAGATTATCGATGAAACATTCACAATGGCTCCACTAACTCCTCGTTTTATTAAATCACGAGCGACCATCTATACAAACAAAACAAATTTAGACAAACTGGGTGAAGAGAAACTTTTTGAAATCTTACTTGTAATTTTTGTAAATATTTTGTAAAGGAAAAATATAATGTCGTTACAAACCTAGCCTGCGAAACAGGCGTTTAGTGCGGGCGGGAGAAGAGAGGGCGTCGACGCCCAGATTCATGTTGATTTACATAAACTTTAACTTTGATTTTCTCGGCTTAGACGTTTATTTTTAAAATTACTTCGCCAATGAACTCATAAGATGAGTCATTTTTTAAGCACGATAAAACACGGTACAACGCGGCCGCTCATGTTGTAAATAGTACATAAAACATGAGCAGCCGATCTGATATACAAACAATGATCAATGAAGCTTTATTAAAAAAAAATACATAAATAGGTAACATGGTGTCCTTTCACTAAAGTGCTCTTCCAAGGAGCCATGTAAAAATGCAAAAACAAAAGAAATTAGCTAAATATATATACAATCCTATCATATTTACAACTACTTAATCTTAGTATTAAATTTGAAAGTTAGAAAGTTTATTTTTGAAAAGATATATTGAAGCCTGACTTCTTATTTCATCCGGAAGATCGTTCCATAACACAGCCCCACGGTAGCCGAAGCTCCTTTTACCAGCCTCCGTTCTGGGTCTAGGGGTGAACATACTGTGCGAACTACCTCTAAGATTGTGAGAGTGGACTTCCGAGGTAGGTTCAAAAATAGTATTAAGCTCATTGGGATATAAATTATTCACTGCTTTATAAATACTTGTTGCGAGCTGTTTAGCACGACGTTGGTCAAGAGTTTCCCAACCAAGACTGTGTAGTATATCAGCTGATCTTACGTCATAATCGGAGAAGGTTATTATCCTACCGGCTCTGTTTTGCAGTTTTTGGAGATTTTCAGAGAGGGTTTTACCTAGGCAGCCACAAACCTCACTACAATAGTCTGAGTAAGGTAACACTAAGGCTTTATACATCAGGATCAATGTGTTTTGGGGTACAAAAGTTCGAATCCGCTTTAACGCCCCAAGACTTGCACTTATCTTCTTACAAATGGTTTCAATATGTGCTTGCCAATTTAAAGATTCATCAATTCCAAGTCCCAAGTATCTATAAGAATACATTCTTTCTATAGACTGTCCATTAATTTGAATGTTAAAGCGATAATTCAGATTACTTAATCTCGCTTGGCTTCCTAGGATTAAGAATTTTGTCTTCTTTACATTCAGAGTAAGCTTATTAGCCCTTAGCCACAAACTCGAGCCTATGGCAAGCGATACGATTCAAAATACAATGACGCACTTATATTACTTTGAGAGTTAGATTTTCCTCTTAATTTTCCGTTTACGCATTTAGATAACGAGGTCCGCTTAATGCTACTATTACTTTATTTCGATAAATTTAAATACCTACGTATCGTTACGCACAAAAATTACATACGAAGAATTACCATGGAAATACGGAGAACATAATTATACATATGTATAATTTCCGTGCGAATTACCTACGCAAAATTTAACCATGAACATAACATTTAATTATGTAGGTTAAAGTTACATACGTAACTGTCAACACTCTTACATAGAATTACATAGGTAAATTTACCTACGTAACTGTCAACACTCTTACATAGAATTACATAGGTAAATTTACCTATGTAACTGTCAACACTCTTAAATAGAATCACATAGGTAAATTTACCTACGTAACTGTCAACACTTATTTAATTAAGTGCATAGGGTATGTAAATGTCAGCAATCATATTAACACAGGATGAGGTATTTAGCACTAAAGCACTCTTGATTATTTAGTAAATCTTTATTAGAACTTCATTATAACTTGATTAGTAAATCTTTATTATAAGTACAATAATATAGTAGGGCCTATATTTGTTTTAGTTACATATACAATTCGAGAATTTGTACTAAATCATAAGTTTACAATGTCAAGGTTATCCCTCGACTTTTCAACAAAATGAGAGTTCTCTTTAACCTACAAAGCTGTATTGAAACCTTTGGCTTCTGACAGTCTAACTGCGCAATCAATGACAATACAGGTAATATCGAAAAAAATGGGTCACTTTATTCTAAAACTGCAAGAAATAAATACATTATAAACAATGTTAACAGACAATCACGGTCCTCCTCTCAATACTTTATGAATTAAACACAACAATTAAGATATAATTTAGCAAGGTCTATGACTAGAGTGGGATAATTAATTCGTGGCACAGTTCAATATCGAATAAACATGCAGTTATTTAGTTAGAAAGTTTAGGGAAAATTTTATTACATAATCTATTAAGTTAATATTATAGAACACACGAAAGGTTGATTTCTTCAAAGACCACTTTTTGTCTTAAAAACTTATAGGTATCTTGTGGTACGAAACTGAATAGTGAGAAAGATATGCCTATAGTGCTGGAAATGGAGTTTAAATTAAAGGACATTGGCAATAAAAAATTTTATTGCTTTATCTGAAAGAGCATGAAAAAATAAGCCGATTGGCCGTTTACTGCTCTATTCTATCTCATCTGGTTCCGAAGTTATACGCAAAAATGTGCAAAATATAAATTGCTGATTCAGCACAACGTGTGACGTCATTGGTTGGGTAAGTATGTTTATTGAATAGTAGACTGAAGCATTGCTCAGTTATTATTGGCTCAAATCAAATGAAATTTTGCATACAGATAGTACATGATGAGACGCATGGAAAGATACTTCTAATTTTGTTGTCAAGGCAACACAGTCGTTCCCAGGCCCCTTACACTGATTTTGAATAACTAGTTGCATTTATCTATGTGTATGTCATTTTCGAATTATTATCATGCAAGTAAACTTTCGGCATGCATAGGTATGGTACACATACTTCTGATATTATTTTATTCTTATAAGTACCATGAATGAAGCTGTTTTATAAAATTGGCGCAAGGGGCCTGGGAACGACATTGTTACCTTGGCAACAAAATTAGAAGTGTTTTTCAATACGTTTCATCATGTACAATCAGTATGCAAAATTTCATTTGATTTGAGCCAATAATAACTGAGCTATGCTTCAGTTTAATATCATTAAACATACTTACCCAACCAATGACGTCACACGTTGAGAGTTTCGCAGAAAATTTTCCAGAAAATATTTCAACATTTTGAGATAACTCTGTTTACTCAACTTACAAGTTACAACTATTCTACTTTATTTACACTGTACAGTATACACACTAACATCAGTAGCCTTTTAAATATTTGACAGAAATTAATTCTGTTACCCACCCCTGCCAACATAATAAGGTAAAATGGTAAATATATGCTCTGCAAAGTCTACAATAAAATGAAAATTAAATAGTAAACAAGTCCCAGTGCTATAATGCTATTATTATACTGCTATAATACTACCGGGCAGCACAAAAAATGGCCTGCTTGATTTATTTGACTTAATAACTAAAAGAGCTATAACACCTAAACTATGTGCATTGTATTCAGTATTGTCTAACTTAAATTTTTATATACACCCTGTGCATTTTCGTGCGATATTGATAGAGAGAGCTGCATTAAAACTTGAATAAACATGTTGGGAAGTGTCGAGAATTAGCTAAAAACAGCCTGTTAAACTAATTTGATAACCGTTACAATTTTATTGTAAATATTCGTTTCAATGAAATGAAGTTTAAATTAAAAATGTTTATTGGATGGATGTGCTCTTTTATTTTTGTTTTAAGGTCTTTGAAAATGCATGAAAATTAACTTTTAACGTGATTTTGATTAAAAGATCTAAATATTCAATGACCCTGCATGGAAATCAAATTCTAATGTTCCAAGAAAGAAACATGCCGTGTTTTTTTATAAATATGCCTTATTTAATGAAGAACCAAAGAGTGTCGATATGTTTATAATATGTAAGGGTAAATATGCTTGTGAGGTTATAGCGGCGGCGTTTGTCAGGTCTCTGAAAACGAACATGTACTTTTTACTATAGTGTGTCTAAACACAGGTTATTGCTGTATTCATATTTTATAGGCCGTTTTTTGGCTAATTCTAAACCCTTTGAAAAATGGTTACTCAAGTTTAAACATATAGCTCTGTTGGTCAATATTGCACGAAAATGCACAGGGCGTATATTAAAATTAAAGTTAGACAATACTGAATGCAATGCACATAGTTCACATGTAATAGCTCTTTTAGTTTTTAAGTTAAAACAAATCACACCGGGCAACTTTTTTTGTGCCACCCGGTACTATAATAAATAATAATAAATTAAAATAATACAGTACATTAAATTTAAGTAGAATAAATTAATTTAATACAGACACTCACTCAGACTATGATATATTTTATACCTTTAAACTGTGGTATATAACAGACAACCATTGCAATGCACAAGCATACGAAAACAAGCCTAAACTGCTATTATTATTAAAGTACAAATAATACAATAATTATGCATTTGTTTTGTCACCTCTGTAATTGTAACATTGCAAATTTCACAGAAAATTTATAGCCTTTGACCTAGGTTCCCAGAAAGAAAAATTTTTCCACCCATGAACGGGTATTCCAAGGAACGAATTTGTTAACAAAGCCTGGCTGGACGTTTGAAACTAAACTCTTAAACATTAGCAGTCGACGATAGATGTTCTTCTTTCGGCTCACTCAACGACACAGCCACGGGTTTAGTTTTATATCAACAAGAAAAGGCAGAATACTTAATCCTCAGAAAATTGCTTGTATTCAGCAGAACATTTGTTTAACCAGAATCGTGATTGGATATTTTACTTGATATTTGTGAGCGATTATAAAAGAACTCGCTGTTCGAACTGCAATGTGAAGAATAAATAAGTACATTAATAAACAGTATATTTAGCTCAATATTCTCTATGAGACTATGTCTATTTATAAATGTCAAGCGGAGTACTGGATCTAAATGTACTGATTTTCGTGCAAAATTCGCCGGTGTTTCTCGGTGTTTCCCAGAACCTCAGCAAGCCTCCACAGAGGATCGCAGGCTCAGGGTTCGAGATTGGGTAGCGTAGTACCAACCTCGTACCCAAGCTCTTTCCATTACGCTACTCACTGGAGAAAAGGCCCTGATAACAAAAATTTGACATAAGGTGACACAACATGATCTCCACCAGTTTGAATTTACGATATGAGTAAATTCTTAAACACGTCCGAATTTATCATTATGATAAATTCGCGGCACATTTTGAATTTATCATAATAATAAATCCGCGGCACCTAACACTAACCCCAACCATAATCCCTAACCACTGACCCCTAACCCTAACTTTTCTAACTTTTAAATTTTTTTAACCTTTTTAAAAATCTAACTTTTTAAACTTTTTTTGCTTTTTAAAACTCTTTTAAAACTTTTTAAAAACTTTTTTAAAACTTTTTTAATTAAAAACTATTTTGTTTGAAAATCTTGAAAATCTCGCGACCAGCGCGACCAGCCTCCCTTTTAGTGCCATTACATTTATAAGAAAAAGTCTTGTCTAATGCTTCTGGTTTTATGATTAACTCTATTGATAAATTCAAAATGGGCCGCAAATTTATCATAATGATAAATTCGGACGTGTTTAAGAATTTACTCATATAGTAAATTCAAAGGTGGAGCTCATGTTTGGTGACAAGGGTGGGGGAGGGGGCCAAGTTTGTTTTACCGATCTAGTTGCCGATATCAGAGTGTGCATTGTGAGAAGAAATTCTCTCAATATTTGGGGGAAATATGCTATATAGGCCCAATTGTCAAAAATAGAGGAAAATATAATATATAAATATAAAATTTATTTTAAATTATAATACATTCCGAATCCCCCATCCCAACCATCGACAACTATTTTGGAAAGTTTGCACGGAAAATATATTTACAAGTCTGGAACAATGGGAAAAAGTCGGGCAAATTTATATCCGCCGACCTACTTTTTCCTTCCCCTACGCCAATGTGTAAACGTAATTTTTTTATCATTTGAGTAGTGTACTGTACCTTTTAATTAATAAATTTCGTTTCATAAGCACTTTCATGTTTTTTGTATTATTTTACAAGTTTAACAGATATTGAATAGTACGCTTCACAGACTATCCGGTTTAATTAAGTTAAATTGATATTCAAGTCCACATTCTAAATTCCTAAATCGTAGTTTCATACAATTGCAAGTGAAAGTAACCATATGCAAACATATTATTCAAGTAATAAAAAAATTTAGACAGCAAATTTAAAACGTTTTTGTTTGAACAACAACGTTGTAACTTTACTATCTCTTTTTATTACTTAGTAAATTTAGAATAGGGTCACAGGTACACAGTGCGGCAAGCAAGGGTGGGTTGTAGCGAAGTAGTTGTAGTTCGCTACTGTAGCGAACTACAATTTTCAAGTAGCCAGTAGTTTTTGACTACTTTTTTAAAACAGTAGTTGTAGTTATAGCGAACTACATTTTGCCTAAAAGTAGCCAAGTAGTTGACTACTTTTCAAACAGCGAATCGCTATTCGCTACTTTTTAAAATTGTTAGCAACTTGATAGAATAGCATGATATTGAGACACCGTTTGATTAAAATCAATACTCAATAGTCAATTTGCACTCCTGAACACTGTAGTGCTTACAAAAATGTTGCTTTGTGTTTACCGTTGCTACTCGTAAGTCGATTTGTTATAGATGGCCATAGATTACATTACAGCCTGAGTTAGTAGATGCTCCAAATATAGTAAAACTAAAAAATATAGTGTAGCGAAATAGCGAAATAGTTCGCTACATTTTTTAAGCAGTAGCTGTAGTCAGTAGCGAACTACCTTTGTTCAAAAGTAGCAGTAGTTATAGCTGACTACATATTTTTGAAGTAGCTGTAGTTATAGCGAACTACAAGAATTTTGTAGTCAACCCACCCTTGGCGGCAAGATAATGAACAAAAAATATTGTACAAACGCTTACAAACAAGCAAAAGTCGTATATTTGATATCATATGCCGCAGGTACGTGGGGTTCCAGGTGTTCCGGTAACCGTCCCGTCACCCCGAATTTAAGAGAAATAAGTGCTTCATAGCTGAAATAGCTCGTATTCCAGCGTGTTCCGGGTGTTTTACGGGGGGGGGGGGTATGCGTGTTCCAGGGTTTATAGATGAGGTTCCGGGTGAGGTTCTGGGTGGGATTCAGCGTTTTACAGATACCCCATCTGCAAGGATCAACATATGCAAAATATCACACATCTATGAAGATCTAGAAAATCCCATTAAGCCGGCTCGATATTGTTTTATATAATAACCTTAAGAATTTATGCGATTTCATTGGTCGAGAGCCATGATCTATTAGAGGACAGACGCACGGAATTACGTCATTAGTTTTTAAAATGTCGAAAATATTTGAAAATTCCACTGAATTTATACAAATTGAATGAATTCATGCAATTAAATCTATAAACAACACTAAATACCTGCGATAAATGTGCAAACATCACTCACAAAAGATAGAAACTCGGCAAATCTCAACTCAGTCATTCAGCTCCGACTTCAAAATCCAATCCGGTCTTCGAAAACAAATACTATTTCGGTCATTAATTTGACCCTGTTGATGTCACATTTTCCGATCCAGCTGGTTTCTTCACTTCGTGCAACATAGACAATGTTTAAAGTGGCACTCTCGTCAAAATTTTTATTTTCTTAAACGAAAGTGCTCGTAAAAGTGTATAATAACTTGTTTTGAACATTTTTGTTCCTATGCTTAGTTCTTGTTTGTAACCATGTGACGTCATTTACTCAATTACATATATAATGAGGTATCAGTAATTGTTGTGTATCTTTGCTATTTTTATCAAAATCTTTCCAAAGATGCGGCGGGTTTGTTAATTTAATCTACATCATTAAACATACTGTTTTTTTTAAAAACAAATCCATCAAAAATAGCAAAGATACACAACAATTAATGATATCTCATTATATATGTAATTGAGTAATGGTTACAAACAAAATGAAATATCTCAAGAACTAAGCATGGGAACAAATATCTTCAAAAGTTACTATACATTTCTAAGAGCACTTTCGTTTAAGAAAAGAAAAATTTTGACGAGAGTGCCACTTTAAGTGCTTTTTAATTGCCATAGTCGCTCAAAACAAAATAATTGCCATTTTATCACATGTTTCTATTCCTTTAAAACAATGTTTTTTCACTGTTTTTTCACTGTTTTTTCAATGTTTTCCATATTTAGTACCGTCTAGCGCATTCTTAAGCTTAGCCAATCAGAATTCAGCACGTGACTTAATTTAAGCGAGCCAATAGCATTTCGTTATTTGTATAGATCATGTACGCGTGATATTTGCAAAATTTCGACTTCCAAATGTTTGGGGGAATAAAAATTAACTTTTAACCTGTTTAATTCGGTAATTGTTTCAATTTTATTATATAAAACAAGTAGATTACATTTTCCCGTTGTCTGTTCAGTTATAGATACACAGTATGACGTCATATGTGGTGAGAACAAAAAGTGACCACTCGCCTAGGCGGCTCGTGACACTTTTTTTGTTCTTACCACATATGACGTCATACTGTGTATCTATAACTGAACAGACAACGGGAAAATGTAATCTATTTGTTAATTAAATCACAAACGCCTTGCTGAAGAATCGCGAGAAAACCGGGTGATCATTTTTACGGCGCAGGTTGCAGGTTGATTCGAGGGTTGATTAACAAAATGAAAGAACTTCCCAAATGACCTGACGTGATCAGTTGCTCCCGGAATCTCACGCCATTGCGCGTGTTATAGCGTTTTATGTCAATTGCTGACGTCATTAGAATTTTCCATTTTAGAAAAACAATGCGCTAATATCTCTCTATTTTGTCTGGTGACCTATGTTCAAATTTTACTTAAAAAGGGAAAGGTCTATTCTGATCCACAAATGTCTTTTCCACATTTCTTTACATATCTTTCTTTGAGAACATGCATTGATAAAGGATTTTTTTTCAAGATCCAGAAATTATTTTTCTTTTAATTTCGGATACGAAATGTAAAATACATTAAAGAAGTAAATTATCAGTTAAAAAACGGGGGTCACCGATCTTTTTAGGGAATTGTGACATTAAAACGTGAAATACAAGTAAATAAATATACTACAGACACAGGAACCCTAGCTACACTTTTGTATGCCTTTTTTGAAAACATTGATTTTAACGTAATTCTTTGCAGAATGTAACCAAAGATGTTTTGAAGTAACATAAAATGATTTTTTAAAACGGTATACGTATAAGGCCACATAAAATAAATTCCTTGATTCTCATCACTACACTTTGAAAATGTCGAAGAGGCGGGAGGTTTATATTTTATATTTTATATTTATATAATTTAATATATATCAATAAATAAAAGTGTCACAAACTGAAATAAACATATTTCTCCATGAACAATGACTGGCCCTTGAACTGAATGCGAAGTTCCGTTAAAATGCAATGAAATTTCTTTCAAGGTTCTATTTGTTTGAAATTGGCAGTTTAAAATGGCACTAAAGACCCAATATAAAATATAAAATACTTAACTGTCTTGAAATATTTTGTCGGGCGGTACATTTATATTGTATAACAAAATATAAAAAAATTTCACGCGGCTCTTAAAATACAGTCGGGCGGTGATGAGAATCAAGGAATTTATTTTATGTGGCCTAATGGATGAAATTATAAGTTATAAGATGTGCGCAGTAAAAGTGCGCAATGCAAAACTTCGGAATTACCTTAAGTCAGTTTTCCACATCGTATCGTAGCGAAGCGTAGCGTATTTCTTTGTTTCCCAAGCACCATGACTTCGTAATGACTTCGACACAAAAGAAAATGCCACTATACGTTACGATATGATTGAAGTGGAAAACTGGCTTTAACATCAGAGCCATGAATGAAAACGAATGAAGCTTTGGGATTCATTGTTTTGTAACAAAGCTTTTTAGACATACTGCAGGGGCCAGAGCCCTTCAGCCGCATGTTAATTGTCCCCTACGTAATTAGAGAAGGTAAGCGTAATATAGATTTAAAGCGTATTTGATCATATTCACATGTACATTTGTGCTATAAAAATGTTAATTGCAATATTGACATAGAAGGGGGGGGGGGCAAAATTTGATTTGTCAATGTTCAATAACTTTGAATTATTGACTGGAGTCATTTGACTGGAGTCATATTGGTGTCAATGGTTTGGTCCAGGATTGTAGCTATATTGAAGATTATATATTTATCTGAATATACCTAGGCCTGCTGCCCAGCTATGTGTCATCATAAAATCCGCATTACTAATGCATCTCTAGATTTTGGCGAGTCATTTCAACTACTTTTCAATCACTAATTAATATTTATTTTTCAAAATTGTTGACAAGAGGGTATTTCCTTCTCCACACACCCTCTAGCGTCCCATGCTATAGGTTATAGCTATGTTAGGCAAGCATAGTACACACCACACGCAACATATTCATTTTTCGCAGCATAGCTGGAACAGCTAACTAACCCTAACATTCTAATATTAACTCTATAACCCCGTTGTTTTGTATTGATTTGGGTAGATTTCTTCACTGATACGTACCTGGTATAATACGATAGGCAGCCCAGCAAAATGTGTAAAAATGCACTAAACGCTTAAAGATACGTATAAAGTTCATCTCGTTCGTTTTTTGGGATATGCGCCCCCCCCCCCCTCCAAAGACCTTCTTGTTAGCTTTTCCGCGAATGAAATTCGAATATTATGAAATTGCTCTGCATGCGGTCCCTGCCTAGTATAGATTTACTTGATGCTCCCTCCCCTTGGGGAGAAAACCTCGGACCCGCGAACAGGCTGCGTAGGAGACTACCCTCCCCTCTACCACATACGAATTCTTAAAAAATGCCTTGATTATAAGTGACCGGTCATAAAGTAAAAGGGGGGGTGGGCTGGGAAAAATAGGTGGGTGGGTCACACTATTTTGAGCACGGTTGAAGGGGTGTGTCATCGAAAGTTAAGCGCAATCATAAGGGTGGGCCATGTAAAAATATGCAGAAAATTGGACCCCAGTCATTTTATTTTGTGTTTAAAAATTTCCGTGCAAAGAACAAGATATCTGGTTTTTTGGGCTAAGTACCGAAATTTGGTATGAAAATTTAAGATAAAGTCCTTGGAAGGCAATTGCAACGTACTCGTCCGGAAAATTTTTTTACCTAAAAAGTTGTCGACGGGGTGTGGTGGTTCTTGTCCGAAAAAATATTTTTCCGGAAAAAATTGGAAAGGGGTGGGTCATAATTTTTCAGCATCAATTTAAGGGTGGGCTTCAAATTTTCGTGCAGCTTTCCACAAGAACAGGGGGGTTGGGGGTTTCGGTGCACGCCACTATCGGCAGAGAATTTAAATATCTCAACCATGCCGTCAAATAGCGGAATATCATTAAATGGGTTTATCATATATACATCATATGTTCGTTGTATATTTTGTAAGTACTCAGTGATTGCATGTTGTGGACGATCATTTAAAATTAAGTGATCATATTAATTTTAATTTTATATTCTTTGAGAGTGATATCTGATTATTTGGTGATGATTTTGCGCCATTTATATATAAAGATTCAGAAAGAAAAAATTATATATTGGGATGTTTTGTTAATTCCAGCTAGTTTTGTTAATTTCAACTAGTGCTATTTTGGTGTGTATATTTTTTCCAAAAGACTGTGGTTGATTTAAAAAAAGTTGCCTTTTCAGGTGGAACACGCAGAAGCATGCAATTTGGATTATCACCTAGTCAAAGTGTTAACAGTCATTAACACTTTGAGAAATACCATATGCACGGTTTGAAATAAGTGTTGACAGTTACGTAGGTGATTTTACCTATTTAATTAAATTTAAAAGTGTTGACAGTTACGTAGGTAATTTTACCCATGTGCTTAATTTAAAAGTGTTGACAGTTACGTAGGTAATTTTACCTATGTAATTATATTTAAGAGTGTCGACAGTTACCTACGTAACTTTTACCTACGTAATTAAATAGGTGTTGGTAATTACCTAGGTTATTTTACATATGTAATTATTACGCACGAAATTTATTCCATACGATACGGTCACCGGACCGAAATATTACATGCGTTTAGTTTACCTACATGACATAACACAATCGACAAGATTTTCACTGGCAAGTAGAGTAGGGGTTTCTCGTCGGCACGCTACGTACGTAAAGTTTGATATCGGACCATGTTGAGCGGTGAACGTAATATTGATGGGCTAACGTAGCTTTGGTGCGTTATTGTATTATGAATGGCTTTAGCAACCATACTAGCCGAAGGCGAGTCGGATGCGAATGTTTTATCGTGCTTAAAAAATGACTCATCTTATGAGTTCATTGGCGAAGTAATTTTAAAAATAAACATTGTCTAAATAAACATAAACATGTCAGCAATTTTACCCGTAATTCCTCCCCGTTTCCCCGCGGTAAACCACGGTCTACACGTAAACGACAAACGGGTACGGGTGTTTTCTGTTTACTATTTTTGGGCAGTTTAAATAGTACAAATTTTCAACATCTTATACCCAAATAAATAATGCACATATGCTGGTCAAAGTTTTCAACAATTTATGGCGAACCTCAACAGCGAAAGTTGCCATTCTCTGATCGGTTTTCTCACGCCGGAGTATCTTGGCCGTAAACCGGAATCGGGGTATCTTAACCTCTCTATTATATAGTCGAATCCATCCGTGATTAAACGTCGTGGTCTAAGAGATCGCGAGCAAAAAAAAATGCTACAAATAATAATGAAAATTTTTACCTGACTCAAGCGGAGGGGAGTTGTCAAATTCACCTTAATTGTTCTGAAATATAATCAACAATGCATCAGTGGATTCTAAATCTTATTTGGGCATGTGATTGAGGGCATTTAAATATTCTTTTATAAATAAACTATACGGGCGCAGATAACCCTTGCAAATAGGATTGAATTCGTTCTCAGAGCCGCCAACATGCATGACCATGACGATGGTCAAAAATAACAAATACTACATTGCTTTCACATGTTGGTGTTGGACAGTGTCTATAAATGTCAACTATATTCTGTGAGGGCCGAGAAGGAACTGGTACAGTAGCCAAGCATCCCCCAGCTCAATCTTGGCTAAAACACAGTATTGCCTCTCTCCTCCGCAGAGGCGTTTAATTTAGAAAGAATTTCGTAATTGCGGTAAAAGGTAAGGAAATGTGAAAGTAACCGCTATAATTCAGTGCGCGGTCGCGGATTAGACAATTCTTTCTAAATTAATCCTTTAAAAGCCTCCATGAAGGAGAGAGCGGTATTGCAATTTGGAGCAAAATACTAAAATATATACTTCATTTTAAACGGCCAATTCAATTACTGTATATATCGATAGCGTTCAGAGGCCTGTTGTATAAAAATGTAGTTAAAGTTAACTGTAAATATCGAATATATGCGATTAGTATTTTTGCACAAGTGAATATAACAAATCCTACAAGTTGATTGGTCAAATTTGACGTATTAAGCTGTTATACACCGCTAAAAACAATCAGTTTGTTGCAATATTGATGAAAACAGGATTGAACAATGTTGTGCGGCCCACATTGTTTACAGTTGTCAACAATGTTGAACAATATTGTTACACCCGATTCAGACTCAACAATACTGTTCAATATTGTTGACAAGTGTGAACAAGGTGGGCCGCACAACATTGTTCAATCCTTTTAAAGTTTGTTCGTTCGCACTGCAACCAGGTATATCAATCATGTTTCACTCGCTACTCTGGTTTAAATAAATTATTACAAAGCCCAGTCGAATTGTAATCAAGACCCAACGTTTCGACACTCCAGTCTAGTGTCTTCATCAGGGGTGATCTAAAGTTGCAATCGTGGCTTCTTAAATACCACTAGACTGGAGTGTCGAAACGTTGGGTCTTGATTACAATTCGACTGGGCTTTGTAAATTGTAATCATTTATTTAAACCAGAGTAGCGAGCGAAACATGATTGTTCAATCCTGTTAAACAGCGGGCTCATAATTTTTACGCGTGTACCGTATTCACCTGCAGGTGAATATAACAAAACCGAAATTTGCAAAATGGCGGCTAGACGTTTTGTGGAAGTTACTAATAAAAGAAATAAACGAAATTAAAATAAATCCAGTCCCAAAAAAAACACAAAAGACTTGTGTAAAAATACTAAAATAATTATTCGCCTCAGGCTCGGTGATTATCGGGGATTATTATATACACAAGGTCTGGATATGAGGTATTCTGCAATCTGATTGGTTCTCTACTAGCAGGATATTAGCTCATATCCTGCTAGTAGAGAAAAACAAAATGGCGGGTCAAACTGAATTTCCGATGTTTTGCGAACGAGAAAAGGGAAAGTTGTTCGCTTTTTATAGCCTTTACAGGATTAAAAACACAATAAAAAACTCCCACAAATTGTTTAAAGGTTAGCAAATGAATTTTTAGAATTTAAAATATGGTTACAAATATATATTTTTGAAAAATAATCGGCCGAAAGAGCGAAGATAAAAACACAAACAAAACAGAAAAATATTGAAAATATCCGAAAAGCAAAGTCTGTGAATTCAGACCGTGTGTATATAATAAAACAGTTATTCCACTCACTCTCGTCGAATATGAGCGATAGCCAATTCGGCGCTACGCGCCTCATCGGCTATCAGCTCATATTCGACTCGAGTTCGTAGAATAACTGTTAATTATTATATACACAAGGTCTGGATATGAGGTATTCTACAATCTGATTGGTTCTCTACTAGCAGGATATTAGCTCATATCCTGCTAGTAGAGAAAAACAAAATGGCGGCTCAAACTGAATTTCCGACATTTTGCGAACGAGAAAACAGCAAGTTGTTCGCTTTTTATAGCCTTCACAGGATTAAAAACACAACGAAAAAACTCCCACAAATTGTTTACAGGTTAGCAAATGAATTTTTAAAATTTAAAATGGTTTTAAAAATATATATTTTTGAAAAAATACTCGGCCGAAAGAGCAAAAATAAAAACATAAACAAAATAGAAAAATATTGAAAATATCCGAAAAGCAAAGTCTGTGAATTCAGACCTTGTGTATATAATAAAACAGTTATTCCACTCACTCTCGTCGAATATGAGCGATAGCCGATTCGGCGCTACGCGCCTCATCGGCTATCAGCTCATATTCGACTCGAGTTCGTAGAATAACTGTTAAATATTCACCTCGACTTCGTCTCGGTGAATATTACTCGATATTTACCTCGCCTTATGCGAATAATTGTTAAATGTCCGCGCATATAGTAATATAGTAAATTCAAAGGTCGAGCTCATGCTGAACTACCTGATTAAGTTAACTACCATTTAACTACAAAACGAGTAGTTAAATAGTATTCAAAAACTCATTAATAATTCATGAAGCAATTATCCAATCTTGAGTAAGAATGCGCGCTCGTGGCTTTAAACCTAATAAAACACTCCTGCTCGTTTTTTAAATAGTACGTTAGGAATTTTATACAACCAGCCACCGATATTGTAAACTTAGCTTGAGATATTGTAAATTCAACTCGATAGGCCACGTGATCTGCTTAATATTGGTGGAACATGCTAGGTTAAAATAATGTATTAAGACATACAAAATTCCCAAATTCGATTACGTTTCCCTATTACACTTCAGCATTATATTTTATGTAAATATAACTTGCACAAAACCATCACACTAGGAATACTGCAGAACGTACTTGTTAAGTTCATCCTCTGTTATATCTAAAACACTGCACTGAGGAGTGATTTGTGCAGCATTGTTTACCAACAAGTCAATATGATCATCAGTTGATTCAATAGCTTTTACTGCTTCATCCAAGTTCAACAAATCTGCACATATAGTTTTGATATTGCCTGATATCTAAATAAGACAATGTTAAGAGCATTTTGGTAGACTCAAACTAAGAAAATACAGAGTATTTAATATGTTGGACCACACAATCGAGTCGGAGTGGAATACTGAATAAAGAACAAGACGCTCGAAAGAGCGTTAACTCGCTGGGGCTATAATGGGTAGACTTGGTTCAAGTCCGTCTCTCAGCGCAAGCGGTCAAAAGCTAATGGGCTATAGTGATACGCTTGTTAGATGGTACTACAATCATATGGCCAATTGAAGAGTTAATTGTGACCTGTCCCCTGTTGCAAAATTGCGGTGTCCCACTCCGTGCCAAGTTTGGCACCGCTACCTGACAGCAGACGGTTTTTGGGGAGGAGTTTGTTTCGAAACAAATGCTTCCACTTCCTATAAAAATTCCTTGCACGTTCTCTGAATTTCCTTTCCGGGTGATCCAAGTGACCCAACAAAGAGAAAAATACCATCGTTCGAATCAGTGTACGAAATGGTACTTACGGATGCCAAATTCATTACTGAATAGCAGTATTCTGGCGATATATGGCCTTTGAAAGTCAAGCGAAATTGTATTGTTGACAAATCGCTATCTCAAAATTTATATTATTCAGCTATTTAAAAATGCGCTACGTTTGCTCCTTGATAACTTTCGTATCGTTGGTTTTCTCTTTTTCGGCCGTATACGAATGGATTCGTCTCACTTTTATCTTCATTTTGATAGTATTTTGATCCGATAACAGTTTATTTTGAAGCTTTTAAAGCTAATTAGTTTTACCGAACGTACGGAACAACTGTCCGCCGACAGGAGGAATGTAGCGTACGATAAAATATAACCTTTATTTGTAGCACAGCTTGTAGCCTGTAGGCGAAATCGCATGAAAGTTTTATTTGTAAAGCACCGCATTTAGCTAGTACTGTGTCTGGTCTTTACTCTGGTCTTTAAAGCATAGTTAGCACTTAGCAGTCTTATATCGACGGTTATTCGAGTTTATATTTCATACAATTGTTCCTGTGCATCGGCGATCGCTGTCTTCGACTTTGTATTTCTGTCTTTGTCGGGCTATAAGATGTCATTTTCACCGCTTAGCCGGATTTATTTGGCATTAATACATCTCCAAATTCATTGTTCTTGTCGTTGAATCCTTAATGCAGTAAAATATCAGTTTTAAAAGAACGTATTCATACTATGGTTAAAATAAACAGCAGCTTTGGCTTTTTCAGTAGGTTAGCACTATTTTCCAAAAAGCAAACTGACCTGACGTCATTTTCGGAAGATTGAAGAGGTGTTAAATGGCTATGTAACTAACCCAAACCCTACCCCTACTCTAACCCCTAACCCTAACCGCAACCCTAACTCTAACCCTAATCGAATTAATAAAAAAATCCAAAAAAAACGACTTTAGAAAATCGATAGGGCGGTTTGCTGGATGGAAAAAAGTGCTAATTTTAGTAACTATTGTTGAATTTTTTCAAAACTTAGGGTTATTTATGGATAATTTGGGTAAAATTGACAGGAGCCTTATGGATAATTTGGGTAAAAATTAGGTAGCTCATTAGTATTCTATTTTGTGGCTATTATTGGAGAAAAATGTGAGCCGAAACCTCAATACTCTGGGAACGAGATTGCCGAAACATATACTCGCTAGGGCACAGGTGCCCCAGCGAGTAATAATGCTTTTAAAATTGAATGAAATATTGAATATTTGTCGAAAAGATTTAGGGAATACGAAATATTGGCTGTTTTGTTAGAAGAAAAGAAAGGAAGTAAACAAAAGTCAGAATTTATCAGTAAAATATTAGTTTGGAATAAGGCAAATTAAAAGAGTACGGAATATTTAAAGTTGTAATATTCCGCTTCCACCCGCGAAATCGAACCTGTCTAATACAGACACTAAAGAGACAGAGCTAACAAGGTATCCGTATGAGGAATTAAGGTGTCCGTATTAATTTGTTGGCTTAGCAACAACCTGTTTACAACTTGTTTGCAGATCTGTGCCCAAATTCTTTGAACAAATTCAAACACATTCATTGTATCCTTACACATATGGAAGTTGACTACAGCAAAGTAAAAATCATCTACGCCAGGATACCTTGGCTAGGATGCCAACCCAAACAACACTCTTGTAAATGTCGTTTCTAATTACGAATCTTCTTCACTTCGCCAATTGAATATTGGGGCGTCACGCTCATTCTCTCTGACTCTCAGTTTCGCCTTTTGAATGTCACCAGATATCACGACTGGATAACCATGCTGATGGACAAGTACATCCCATAGCTTATTTTGGAGTGGAGGGCCTGCGTACAAGCAGTCGTTAAGCAACGTTTCTTTGGCCGACGCATCGTACACGATTCGCACTTTGTTATATTTCGCTATTTCTCTCACTACTGGTCACCTGGGAAACTTATTCCTCGGAACCCTGGAATTCACTCGGCGGCCCTGCTCTCAATCACCAATTGTTACGAAGCGGTCCTGATTTGACGAATTCCCTCACAGGTGTTCTTTAAGATTTCACCAAGAACCAGTTGCTGTAATGTCCGGCATCAGAGATGTTCCATCAGGTCAAAGTGGACCTAGCCTGCTCGCAGACGTTGTTATTCTTACGCCAAGCGACGAAAACCTACCGTCTGCTTACCCGAGCGCCAAACTGAATTTCGCTACGTCGACCAATCAGAATTTACCTTCCAAATTCTGGAAAGTGACGTCAGTTGATTTCGGAGCGGAATAAATAAACTAGAAGTTACTATCGCAAGGAAAGTGCTGCCTCACCCCCAAGGGATCAAAGGCAGCATGCGCAATTGGCTGAATAAGTGGCTGTTTTTATGATCCCCCTTTGCCAGGATGAGATATGAGGCAGGATGATTTCAGTGGCGCTGTGGGACCCATGTTTTTTTTTTGGGGGGGGGAGGGGGCAAGGGCAGTACTTTTCCGACAAATCGAAAAATTTTTCCGGACAACAACATATTAAAACTCTCCCCCCCCCCCTCCCATCGACAACTTTTTCGGTGAAAAATTTTTTCCGGACAATAACATTACAATTGCTTTCGTAGCATTTTTCCCGATTTTAGTAGCACTTTTTTCGATACTTCAGCACTAAGATTCCGACAACATTGACAATTTTCTGACGGGTCTCAACAATAGGGGGGCCTCCCCCCTTCCCCCCCCAGCGCCACTGGATGATTTAGATGTATTTTAAAAAGTTACGGTGTACACTTCAGCAAAAAACTTAATTATTTCCGAGAGATAGCAACAGTTACCTGTAAATTGAAAGGTTGTTCAAGCAGCAATAATAATCTTCTTGAACTACAAGATCTGCTCTACAATATTTGAGTTTTGTTAACAAGCATTTGGACTTTCGTTTAGCCTATGGACATATTTCAATACATCAAAATCATCCCACATTCCATCACGTAAACAGCCCCTAAGATGCCTGTTCAGGAGGTAGGAAAAGTGCAATTTGAATACCAAATACCTTGCACAAAATCAAAGGTCAGCTACATATTCTAATTCTACTTTCTTGGCATGCCATGGGCGATTTTATATGAATTCCTTCAATGCTTATAACTTCTTGCTTTTGTATGTATAATTATAATTACTGTCAGCACTGGTGAAGCTAGCCGTAGTAACAGCTAGGTCATGCTATGGTATTTAATGATTTGCATTCCAGGTCTATTAGCATCAGTGGCGTAGCCAGCCTGAGTATTTGCTCCTGCTATGCAAATATTTGTGTGTTCATAGACTGTAAAAATAATGTCAATGAATTTCTAAAGAAATGAATAATGATAATGCTTTGAAATTTACATAGCAGGAGTAAATTTTCAGGCTGGCTACGCTACTGATTAGCATACCATGCCCAGTTGCCACGGCCAGCTTGCCACTCAATACTGTAGAATAATAGTCAAAATACCATATGTACGTATAAACAATAATAATACTTGAATGAATCATTGGACATATAGAATTTAATAACAATTTCATATATAGAAATACTACGTTAGTTTTTGTCCCAATTATTGTTTTGATGGCATCTTCATTTGTCAACATTTTTGTTTAATACGTCAGCTTCAGATGGCACCATTCATTTGTAAAGACTAAGATTGTACACAGTCAGAACTGCAAAACTATATAGGAAAGAAATTGTGAGCATTATCAAAAAATATAGTATATCCTGAAATGTGGTGGTGACACAGCCAGGTGAATACATGAATGAAGGCCGGTAGGATTATTTCGTATTGTGCTAACAATGGACATATCTCAGAGGTATATTTTTACAGTCTAAACATCATACCTTGTAACTGCTGGTAAGTTAATATAGGCAGACAACAATCCACACTGGGTTACTATAGGATAATACGAATATATTTATAATATTCTGCATGATGAATATGCTACATTAATAAATGAAATATATTTAAAGTTAAATTTAACCGTGGTGCTAAACATTCATATCCATGGCCAGGGGTGCATTTTAATATTTAATATGTATGACAGACTATGTTTATATATATATACCGGGTGGCGCAAAAAAAGTTAACCTGTTTGATTTGTTTTAACTTAAAAGCTAAAAGAGCTATTACATGTAAACTACGTGCATTGTATTCAGTATTGTCTAACTTAAATTTTGATATACGCCCTGTGCATTTTCGTGCAATATTTACCGAGAGAGCTGCGTTTAAACTTGAGTAAACAGTTTTGAAAGTGCCGAGAATTAGCCAACTAGGGATCCAAGGATAGTGTGAAGTTTCAAATTGAAAAAGACACTGCAAGAACTATATAGGGTCGCCGACAACCTAGAAAAGCTGATGACTTACGCTACGAAATAAACAGTTACCAAAGGCATTTCATCTCAATATTTATTGCTTTTAGTACGCTCGGCACACAAGTAGCGTGACGTTTGAAACAAGCCTAACACATCAGAAATTTGCCTTGTGAAATTGATGCAATTTTTCTATTTTTTGTGATGCTACACGCGACAATTCGAGATGTAAAAATAGCTGTATAAGATATGTTATGAATAATAAGCACTACGTCGTTACATCATTAAAAGGACGCGTTTTATCCTCATCCGTTCCGTATTTTATCCGCATATCCGTTCCGTGGATCCGCTTCCGCATTTTAACCTAATTGTGACATGTTTTGCAATAACAAATCTCATTGACCTTTGACTTTTCCCAGTGTCACGTCTATTTTCAGCTTTTCGCACGTGTTGAATAATGTCACTGTAAATTTCAATAGTTTCACAGTTAAGCAGTGTTTAAAGCAGTTTTGACAAGCTTTGATACAGTTCTGTGTACAGAATACTACAGATTGATTCTCGTACGATCTGGTAGAGTTATCATTGAACTGTACACGAATTTGCACCGTTGACAACGGCGTTGTGCTAGACAGTAAACAAAGGTCAAAGACAAGGTCCGAGACTACATGTACCTCCTTGCTTTTTTCTTCTATTGCATAAAGCTTGTTGGCGGGCCAAGCGATTGGCGATAACATGTCGCTATCTCCTCGTTTAAATAAGGCGCTCTGACTCAACTGATTTCTTTAATAGTCTCGCAAGTTATTTTCTTCGTAAACGCCGTACAAACGTTCGCCCGCTTCTGTTTAATAGTTGTTTATGCTTTGATCTGATACAGATCTGATGCAATTTTTCGCTTTTTGTACTGACTGTAGCTATCTATTCTGTGATGTAGCACCTTATACAGTCAATGACAATGTATGACATATACACGGTCTAAATACTATCGATGGGCACTTACTTGAATGCCAGTAATGCATAACATAAATTTACATATTGTATTATTGCGTAGAATCTCAAAGATTTTCTCAATATTCATGTCTGAAATGTTTATATGCTTGAAAACAACACTGTCTCGCTTCTGCCCACGTACTGTACCTCTGTATAATGAGTATGCCGTGAAAATAATATCGGCACTCAATTGAATGCCTAGAATGTCAAAGATTTTCGTCTCAATATTTACGTCTAAAATGTTTATACACTTGACTGCACTGTCTAGGCGGTCTAGCTCCTTCCTAGCTCTGTATAATGAATATACCGTCTAAATATTATCGGCACTTAATTGAACGCCCGTAATGCATAAGATCAATTTGTATTTTGCGTAGATTTTCAAAGATTTACTCAATATTCACGTCTGAAATGTTTATACTCTACATCTGAAAACAGCACTGTCACTCCTTCCTAGCATATCGTCACGCCATCGTGATCTATGGCTTGATAGCGCATGCGCATTTGCGCAGCTAAAGAAAAAATCGGGTGTTCTGGGGTAAAGATCCTTTACACAACATGAGAAGCGAATGTTCTAAAATTTACAAAAAATTACAATAACGAAAGCGACTCCTCGTATTTTTTGTGAACTTGGCAAGAGGATAACAGAATATGTAAATAAGTTAACTGAAATTGCCTAAATAACCTTCAAAGTACTGACTAAGTACAATAAATCACTACGAACATAAATCGTATACACCCCCCGGAAAGTTTACTCTATGACTGACTGTTTGACTGACTGACTGACTGACTGATTCGTGTGAATTTGCCCGCCATCACAATAGTGTGAAGTGAAACTTCACACTAAAAACGGCCTATCAAATATTTAATACAGCAATAACCTGTGCTTAGACGCACTATAGTCAGAAAGTACACGTTCGTTGTCAGAGACCTGCCCAACGCCGCCGGTATAACCTCACGAGCATTATTTACCCTTACATATTCTAAACATATCAAAACTCTTTGGTCATTCGTTAAACGAGGCGTATTTATAAAAAACAAACACTTGACGTTTCTTTCTTGGAACATTAGAATTTAATTCCCCAGGGTCATTGGATATTTAGAATAAATCTTTTAATCAAAATCGCTTCATAAATTAATTTTCATGCATTCCCAAAGACCTTAAACAAAAATAAAAGAGCACCTCCATCCTATAAACATTTTTAATTTAAACTTCACTTCATTGAAACGAATATTTACGATAAAATGGTAAGGGTTATCAAATTAGTTTAACAGGCCGTTTTTAGCTAATTCTCGACACTTCCCAAAATGTTTATTCAAGTTTAAACGCAATATATATATATATATATATATATATATATATATATATATATATATATATATATATATATATATATATATATATATATATATATATATATATATATACTAATTATAATCTTAAAATTTTATTAATCGCTACACGGTGTTTCGCACTTTCAAAACGATTTTCAAGCGATACTACTCTAAATAGTTTGCTTGGGCCATTCATTCAACGGTCCGCTGACGCGATTGCATCATGCGCGCGTGCGTTTAAAATTCCGCGCTAAACGAGTTTCTGTGGCGGCACTTTGAAAATAGTTCTGTTCGTTTGTTCAGCGTTGTGAGATTTAATTACATAAAACTTCTCCTCTAAGCAAAGGTTTCAAGAATTTGCACCTGCTATATAGGCTGATGCATGCGACAAAACCGACCACTTTATAATATAAGGTCGGTTACTTTGTTTTAGCTTCCATGCGTACTTAGAAAGTTCGGTTTCGTTTGAATAGGGAGGTGAGTTGATGGATTTCTTGTGGTTGGCGTATCTTGCTTTAAACCTCCCTGCTGTCATACCAATATACTCTTTCGTTTCACCGACGTCTGTTGTTGTAATCTCAGCCTTATACACGATGCTTTTCGTAAGACAATTACCATCGAGAGGGCATTCGTCCTTGTTGCGGCAATTACATCCATCGAATGATTTGTTCTTTCTTACCAGTAGATGTCGATTGTGGTTGGATATAGTGTTCTTAATGTTGGTCATGCAGGAATAACTCACTTTTACAGTGTTCCGGTTAAAGATTTTATGGAGTCGAGTTGAATGTGGGAAGTGCTTGTCGATGAGTTGTAAGAAGCTATGTGCCACGTTGGTTTTTACGTTCTTACTGAAGGGCGGGTTAAACCATATCACCTTTCTTTGTCGTTTTTTTCTGCTTGGTGTTGGGGTGTCGCCGGTACTATTGGTTGAATATTGGAGTTTGACGTTGTAATTGCTGCGGTGAAGTGCGTCTTCATACCATGCTGCTGATGAATCAAAAGATAATTGATCAGAGGATAAGCTAGATATTCTTTTGCTTATGGATTCTGGGACATGCTTGATGATAGAAGGGGGGTGATTTGACCGGCTGTCTATATAGAAAGGGTCGTTATTGGGTTTTCTGTAAGCTGAATATCTCCCTGTTTGCAGATTGAAAGTTACGTCCAAGTAATTGACGATTTGGTTGTTAACTTCGGCAGTGATCTTAAAGCCAAGTTTGTGAAATATGCAATGTAGAGACTTTCGAGCGTTGTCTGCCAATCTTTTTCCGGTTCCACTCAACAACATTAAGCCATCATCTCGATATAGTCCAATGTTATTCTTTCCAAATTCCTCAGAAAGCTTATTCAAAATGAATAGTCCGACCAGCTCACATACCTCGGCTCCATCGTAACTTCCCATTGCTACGTCGAATAGAGATTGGTTGTTTCTTTTTACCCACGTTTTCTCATCATGAAAAAGTAAGGATTTTCTTGCGTGCTTAATAATAGAAATGTGCTGATCCGTAATGTCAGTTAATGTTTGGGCCCATGAAATAACTTCGTCAAGGAGATGCTCGGATATAGACGGGTAAAACTCAACGATATCAAAGGAAAGGAACGTGTGATTATGTTTATCGTTGATGGCTTGGAACCAGCTGATTACGGATTCTGTATTTTTCCACTGATTCAAACTTAAGGTTGATCTAATTTTGCTGTTAATGTCATCGAGTATTATCTTGCTAACCTTTCCTAGTTCGCTTTTCGATGGATTGATAAGGCGGCATTTGGGGTTAGAGTCGAAATTCTCTTTATGGTCTTTGAGAGTTATGAACGCGTTTCTTCTCGCCATTGTGTCGACACGATCCGCGATCGACAGATTGCTCGTTATATTCTTTAGTTCAGAATTGATAACATCAGATATATCGTCGCTTCCCAATTTATATGTTTTCGTTATGTTGTCAGTCAATAGTTTGTTGTATGTTTCGGTTGTAGCTTTATAGACATTTCTTGTTTTGTCGGCAAATATTAAAACATTTTGAGAAGAATTAACTTTCTCCAGGTCTACAGCGATATTGTTCAAAAACGGATCCGAGATCTTTCTGAATTTGACATTTGACACTAGATGAATGACGTCTTCCTCAAATGCTTTCATCTCAGCAACTACAGGCGCACAGTTTTTTGAAGGCAGTTCGAATGTGTCGTATTCTTTAGTCTTAGGCTCGCCATTAAGAAAGTAATGAGCTTTCCATCGCATACGTTGAATGACGCTTTCCGTTTTATCAATTAAACGTTTCTGATATTGATGGTGTTTAGGCAAACCGATGTTCTTTAATGAGTAATTAAATTGGATCTTGTCCATTTTAAGATTAACGTCTCGTCCACACGGAGTAAGAGTGCACGACTGGATTCCAGGTGCTTATAATACAATAATAAATCGTTGTCCGTTGTACAAAAAGAGTGCTCAATAACAAATTTAATTGATAGAGCAAAATATACTAATTATAATCTTAAAATTTTATTAATCGCTACACAGTGTTTCACGCTTTCAAAGCGATCTATATATATATATATATATATATATATATATATATATATATATATATATATATATATATATATATATATATATATATATATATATATATATATATATATATATATATATATATATATATAATTCGCGCTGTGAATTGAGCTTAGAAGAAAAGAAAAAATCGAGCAAATTGACATACCTCTAAACGATCTCCCTTTCTCACAAAACTTGAATATAAGGCCAGTATTTATACAAAGTATGTCTTCGCTTCGCTCCTGACCTCGTGTTAAAAATATGCTACAAAGCTTGCTGATCGAAATATTTTTAAACTCCATACTTGGTACGTCGTTCGCAGTCGCTAAACAAAGTATTCGGCAGTCATCGATTTGCTATTGTGAACTCCTGGGGTATGATAATGCTCCAATGCATGTAAATTCCTTACTGCAACGTCATAACATGACGTCACAACTGCCGACACAAAATCGAGATACGCTTCAAGTTTATAATACTGTTGGCTGGAAATTCAAATGCGCTATAGCACATCGTCAAGAATAGGAGGCTGCCTTCGGCAGCAAATATATATTTTGAAAGCAGTCGTCGGTTGAATTTTGGTCAAAATTGCACATGAATTGTATTTAAAGATACTGATACAGTGATACTTGTCGGCATATTGTAAACACTGGACTGGACTTTGGACTGGACTTTGGACTATGGACTATGGACTTTGAACTTTGGACTTTCAATTTTGAAATTATGTTTTTTAGATTTTCGTATAATTACAGTAAAATCTAAATAGAGAACGAAAATTTTCTGCTGAAAAGCGTGCTACACTGCATGCACATGCATGATATAAAAAATACTCAGTATCAGTTATATAGGTATACCAGCACTGCAATTTCATAGATATAGCCTGTAGGATAGCAGGATTATCCAATATTTTGGGATTTAATATTTAAATTTTATATAAAATTTGTATTTATAGTATGCATAGTACCTTTATACTGCAGAACATCTTAGTTATCATGCATATAGATAATATACAAAATATTAACTATACAAACGATTATTATTGCGCCTATTGAGTATTGTATTATGTATCTATTGACTGTTCATCTTTGCATAATAGTTTATACTAGTACTGTATTGTGTAATCCGTTACACGGTAACATTAATCACTCTTCTCCCACTAGAGACATTAATCACTCTTCTCCCAGAAGGGAGACGAGGGAGGGGAAAAGAGGGTAGAGGAGAGAGGGTGGAGGAGGGAGGGGAGAGGAGGAAGGGGAAATAATCCTGTTATCCCACAGGCTAGCTATATATATCTATGAAATTGCACTGGTATACCTATATAACTGATAGTATTTTTACCTTGAATATTATATCATGCATATGCATGCAGTGTAGCACGCTTTTCAGCAGCAAATTTTCGTTCTCTATTTAGATTTTAATTAATATAATTATACGAAAATCTTGAAAAATAATAATTTCAAAATCGAAAGTCCAAAGTCCATAGTCCAGTCCAGTGTTTACAATATATGCCGCGCGGGTCTCCAGAGAAACGTACTAACTCATCACGTTTTGTGTGAGCATATTTATTCCATATGGAACAGCTGCGCCCTGACAACAGGCAATGAAGATTTTTTACCTCTTTCAAAGAGTCAAGATCACTTTGGGTTCTTGAAAGTGCAATAACATTTGCTCCACATTCTGCCAACAATATAGCTGTTGCTCGACCAATACCTTGCAAAACAAAATAGACAACTATTATTACTTAAAATATAGCTATATTAGCCCAGAATCTAAGATATACCCACATCTACGAGACCCAGAGGCCGCAGAACCGGGGAAGCGTATATAAAGACGACGTAAGCGAATTTCACTTCGAGAATCATGGAATACATTCATAGTTCTCGGGGAAATCGCATTCATGAATGATCTTGAATGATGTTATTCTTTATATTGCGAATTTTCGGTAAACTTGTCAAAAACTTGAAAGAATATAAAACGAATTTATACTTCACTATCAAAGTTTCTGTCATCAAAATCGACAATTACTGACTTTAATCACAGAAACTTTGACCGTGTAAACGAACCTTTAAAGTTCAGAAGATATCTCTATTTTCGGCAAAATGTCCGTTCGTCAAACTGTCCGTTCGGCAAAATGTCCATTCGGCAAAATGTCCGTTCGGCAAAACCTCCGTTCGGCAAAACGTCCGTCGGCAAAATGTCTTTCGGCAAAATGTCTTTCGGCAAAATGCCCCCCCCCCACACACACACACACACACACACACACACACTTTTTGTGCATGGAGAAAATGTGCCCTTTTTGTGGAATAAAAGTGCCCTTTTTCCAGCAATTAAAAAGGAATTATAAATGCCCTTTAAGCTAAGAAGTCTACAAATGCACGGTCTTATTGTTAGGCACGTATAAACAAGGATAGAACTGATGAACTGGACTTAAGTTTGATTGCTAAAGACTTTGTCCTCAAAAACGACCGGAGACTTATGGCAGTAAGGCCCGCAGTATGGTCAAAATTTTTATTTTCTTAAACGAAAGTGCTCGTAAAACTGTATAATAACTTGTTTTGAAGATTTTTGTTCCCATGTTTAGTTCTTGAAATATTTCATTTTGTTTGTAACCATGTGACGTCATCTACTCAATTACATATATAATGAGATATCAGTAATTGTTGTGTATCTTTGCTATTTTTATCAAAATATTTCGAAAGATGCGGCGCGTTTGTTAATTTAACCTGCATCATTAAGCATACTGTATTGTTTAACAAATCGATCAAAAATAGCAAAGATACACAACAATTACTGATATCTCATTATATATGTAATTGAGTAGATGACGTCACATGGTTACAAACAAAAGAAATATCTCAAGAACTATAAGCATGGGAACAAAAATCTTCAAAACAACTTATTATACAGTTTTACGAGCATTTTCGTTTAAGCTTTGGTCTAAGAGAATAAAAATGTTGATCATACTGCCCCTTTAAATTTGTGGTGTTCATATTCAGTTCAGGACGCAGAGCTATTGGAGAATAGGTATAACATCCGAGACTGTATACATGTATATATTGTAAAGGTCCAAGCCTCTAGACCTTCTAAGGACACATCTACACTATAACATATTTAGAATGTTTGCTGACTCAGTGCCCTTTCTGGTCAGTGCCCCTCACTTTTGAGGTGCTTCCGCGGCCTCCGCACCTACCAACACCTACAAGAGGAACATGAGATAAAATGTCTATGTGATTAACCGATAGTAGGAATGACTGTGTTTCTCGTGTCCCAGAAATGTTTGCGGCCTTAAAAACGACAAATCGCGGTGATCATTTTGATATCAAATACCACGTACTTGGCCGCGTTTTGCGCCCAATTGAAATGGAGGTTGAAATCGCACAAGAAATTGCCGACGTGACCAAATATTTATGGTGTGCAAATTTGCTAAACTAAAGGAAATATTTCCCCCATGTTTCAGAAGCCAAATTTTTGTGAGCATTTGGCGAAGATACTTGACTTTTGTACTTCATTTGAGAAAATTGTAAACAAATTAGAAATTTTTTTTTAAAAATGACCAATAAAGTTCGGTAATCAAATGAATTTTGGCCATGTTTGTGTATAAGTTTATAGACCCAGCTTGTTCAGAATGCGAATGAGTGAATCCCGAAAAGAAAGGTGAATTGAGCTTTGAAGTATCGTCTCTATGGTGTTGTTTTCTTCAACAGTGCTGTTCGTATACGATTTAGGAATACTAGTCCATTTAAGCAAATCCAAATATCGAAATAACTTCAGTGTCAATTCGACGATATATTTCCCATTCCTGTGTATTCAATGGGGCTCTTTCCATTCAGGCTTGCACATTGCAGGCTCAAGCATTATGTGTGTACCATATATTTTTCTGCAAACGTTTTTCAAACGTAGAAACTGATGTTCGAATTAAAATACTTCTCAAATTATTCTCCTCAATGATAGCTGTGAAGTTTAAGGTCCATGCATATTTAATAGGCAAAATAAATTCATTTGAGATGTTTCAAACCAAAATTTTTCAACTACAATTTTGAGGCAATCATGGGACATGCATGCGCTATATAACCATAATGAAACCATATTAAAACATGCTTTATACAGTATGTACAATGCTGTACTATAAAATTCTAATGATTCACAAAATATTTGAAAAATGTAATGGTCATGAAAGATTGCACTATATATATAATAATCTATATATGCCATATCTGTCCCTTTGATAGTTTTTTGTTATTAACTGCCATGACTTTTTGTCAATGCAGCTTTACCGAATAAATTAACCACAATTTGCCTTAAAACAGAGCACCTATATTACGCCCCCCGTCAAAGCCTGAATTATGTGCCTAATGTGGAGTCTTTTTTAATTTGAATATTATGCTTTGAAAATTAATGTCCAATTAACTTCGTAAAATAATTTTACAATGTATTTTTTTCAGACAATCTTCCGATAAAGTGGATTTGCAACACATATCACCTAAATATTCCAACATTGTATAGGGGGAAAAGTTTGAAAATTTACTACAAAATAACAAATCTAAAGCCTCCATTTGAAATTCTGTAAACGAATCCCATTGTGTTCATTCAAAATCTACTGTACTAACTTAGCTGTATAGCTGAGACAGGAAGAACACCTCTGTCCTCTAATTACACAAATACAATAGCTACACTCACAACGAAATATTGCATGGTTACAGGTACCCTTGTTAGTAATGCCACGAGTGTCTGCGTGCAATTAAATTTACAGTTATGTACTGTAATTTTCAAGTTAATCATTTGAAGGATTTCTTAATACTACCCAACAAACAAGAAAATGTTTGGCAATATTCTTTGAAATTCACACTATGAATGCTTCATTCAATACTGAAAAGATCAGATTCAACAAGATGGAGACATTGAGACAATGGTAAATAAGACTTTTCAAAAAAACTGAAAATTAACTTTGGTTTTGAGAAATATCTATATTGAATCCACAATTCCAAATATCGTCAGACTATTACAACGTTAAGAATATCAGCTCATAGATTACCATTTCGCAGAACAATTAAAAAATCACATACTTTTTACAAGTTTAATAAAAATACATGAGTTCTCTCTTCCCCCAAAATACTGTCACCCCCCCCCCCAAAAAAAAAACCCCACCAAAAAACAGAGCGATACAGCTTCCCCTAGCGTTTTTTATGGGAGGAAAGATTTGTGACACGACTCCCTTTTTCAAGAAATTTACAACAATTTCAATACAAAACACAAATCTTTAAATGACGCCGTCTCTTGAATGTATCAAGTCTATAACGAGTCTCTAACAAACTCTGCTAAGATAACCAGCGCCAACATTGTCGACTCCTTTGATCATAGTTAATAGAAATTTATTTCTATTAATTATGCTTTAAAGATGCGGTACAGTCCGTATGTAAACAAAGGCTTTGTTTACATTTCGGTATCCAAAATATTGAATTTTATTCCACAACTATTTATATTTTCATGATTCTAGAGCATAATAAATTATCAAGAGACAACAATCAAGCTTTGCATGAACATAAAATGAAATAAAAACCTAAATAAACTGTTTGTAAATAAAAAGAGGGCTCCTTTGTGCACAAGCGCAGATTGATACTATAATTTTGTAAGAACATCGCCCATCTCATAACTCTGTCGTTAAGAAACGTCGCTGTCTTCAAATAGACCAAAAGCTGGTGGTCGGTTTGCAATGTAAACTCTACTCCATAACGAAATATCAGGAACTTCCGGACAGTTCAAACTATCGCGAGGCACTCCCTCTCGATCGTACTGTACTTCTCCTCCCTTTCCATCAGTTGGCATAACTAAATGGCGAAAGTTTACCGTCACGCTAGTACCACTCCAAGTTCTGTGTCGGATGCATCAGTTCTCAGTTTAAATGGTTTGGTGTTACTGGGTAGTCGGCAATTATGTAATTAGGGTTCGAATTAGCGCCTCGCTATTCGCAATTTGCGAATGTAAATTCGCAAATTGCGAATGCAAAATCATCCATTTTGCGAATGACGTTTGGCAAAAACAATGTATTTTAAAAAGTTTTACATAAAAGGTTGATTTTCATGCACAATTACTTCGAATGTATTTTACTATAATGGACGAAATGGAGTATTTTGCTGACTATTATTGTAATTTTGTACTAAAAAGATGTGTGAAATAAAGAATATGGCTACAATTTCGTCAGAAAATTTATAAAATTCGCAATGAAACGACCGCCATTTTGTTTTTCGCAAGCAGTGTTTCCACTTTTCAAAACTGAAATTTCCTTCAAATTTTCAAGAAGGAAATTTGCGAATCGATTTCTCCTGTCTAATTCAAACCCTGGTTATTAGGGCTGAAAACAGGATCTTTATCGGAGGGAAAATACAATTCGTGATCTGACCGTACCTTAATTGCATGACCCTATATGTTGTTTTAACTTTTTTCCGCTTCGGTTGCCACGATAAGGTTTTAAAATTTCGAGATGACGCGGCCATATAACAGTTCAAATGGGGATAATGATCCAGTGGATCCTTCAGGTGCTTCTCAGTAGGAGAACAACAGGGCACTCATATAATGGTGCCATTGCTTTGGTTGCTCGCTACAGAGCTTCTTCAACATTTTCTTCAGACTACCATTAACTTCTATAGCTAAACAAGACCGTTGCACATTGGATGGTAGGGCGTAGTTGACAGTTGCTTGATTCTTAGCAATCTTGATACTAAGTCGCTAAGAACTTCCTATAGAACGCCAAGTCTACTGTGCATATCTATCAAAGCAACTGCTTCCGCACCAATCGATTTCAAGGGAACCGCATCCGGGTAACGGGTAGTTTAATCAACAAGAGTAAGAACATAACGATGTCCTTGCTCACTGGCTGGGCGGATAGGACCAATCATATCTTAATCTACTTGTACTCTCTTAAAGGCATCATCACCGTGGATTCCAGGCCAATAAAATTGCTCATAATTGTATCAGTGGTTTTCGGACACCCATATGTCCACCCATTACGCGCAACATCCATTACTCTTTCGCAAAGGGGATTGCGGAATGCGGAACCACTACTTGTTGGAGGGTTTTCCCATTACGTCTCTTATAGAACCGATACAAAAGTTAAACTCCGCTTTTGAAGTTAAAGGTTACTTTTGGTCACCCTTTTGTCTTAGTGTCAGTCATGTTTCGGTGCTTCTCTAATGGTGAGTAAATAAATAATGCAGTTTGGCACTTCCAGGGTCTTTAAGGGTTTAAGTTTATCACTTTGTTTCACTTGATATCTAGTAGTTACAGCACAAGTGTCATGCCACTCAAGGTAAGGGTTATACGGGGCATTAGCACCCACTGCATTATCAATAATAAAATGATACAGTGCATCAGGAAAACACTGTGCTTCCGCTTCACCCTTCAAATAAGGGGTATCGACCTGGATCGTACAGTAACAATCCGGTCTAGTCGGACGGTATAATCGATAAGAAGTATATAACGTTACAGTACTTCCCGGTATACTGGTCTTCGTCTTCCTTCACGAACCTCTTTCTAACCACCACTCCACTACACCTAGTATCTCTTAGGGTATCTACAACGGCAGCACCATTTCTTTGATGACAGGCATATTGTTCTTCCCCTTTCTCTCCGTCACAAGTCCGCCACTCTTCAACTTGTACCAAAAAGTGTTAGAGAATCTACACTACAGAATTGTAAGACAACTGTATACTTTTCCTTTTTTGTCTGCACGAGTATGTTGTTGAAGGCAAAATATTGCACAGTATCTTCTATATACAGTAATTCTAGCAGGGCTGGAAAATGTCCGGCAGCGCCGCTGCCAGGAAATTTTTCGCAAAAATTGGTCGCAGGAAATATTTTTTGTATCTCGCAGGAAATTTTTTTGTTCATAATTTATTTTAGGAGTTTTAGGTTCAAGTTACATTACAATCAGATTACAGTAAAATCAGATAACACTGTATTCTGTAAAGTAAACACTACCATTTAGACATTTACAGGATACTTGCGAAGTGCGAACGTTTTTGACATATTAATTGTTATTGTCGATTTCAAGTCACTTTTCAACGCGCGGTGCCCAAGTAATACGTTTCCAAGTTCAAAATTGGGCGTGAACTTCGGAACAAAGTTCGCAAGTTACATTTCATTGTTTGAACTATTGTAAACAAATATTCGTGGTTCAAGTTGAAGTAACAATTCAATGGCATGTTCTTGGTCCAGTGCGCTACTAAGAAGGTTTGTGGAAATGAACTTGCGAACTTTGTTGCGACGTTCTCGCTCATTCTCAAACTTGGAAGTTGGAAACGTAATTTGCAAGTTCGCAGCGAACTTGGGAACCGCGCATTGAAAAGTGACTTGAAATCGACAAATACGACATTAACAGACTTATTTACGTTTCAAACGCGCATGTTAGCCCAATACTAATAGTAAATACCAAAGAACGTGTCAGTTTCGACCTATCTATCACTCAAACAGCGAAACAACACGTCTCTATTAATGCTGTATGTCTCGGCATATTGTAAACACTGGACTGGACTTTGGACTTTGGACTTTGGACTTTCGATTTTGAAATTATATTTTTAAAATATTCGTATAATTATATTAATTAAAATCTAAACAGAGAACGAAAATTTGTGCATGATACAATATTCAAGGTAAAAAATACTGTCAGTTATATAGGTATACCAGTGCAATTTCATAGATATAGCCTGTGGGATAACAGGATCATCTCAGTAATATTTTTAATTAAGTTAATATTTAAATTTTATAATATTTGTATTTATAGTATGTATAGTACAGTTTATACTGCAGAACTTCTTCATCGTATATATAATAGATTTATAGAAACAATTGCGACAAAAGTAGCTTGGCAAATACAAAATATTGAGAAACTATCACGTATAAGTATAAACTACACGCGATTATTATTGCGCCTTTGGCTTTGAACAATTATTCGCCGAAGGCGAGGCCGTGATTATCCGGGAATTTGTAGTCTCCCTCGCAGCCGCCAGTTGTGTATGTTTTCTCTGATGTCTGCGAAGGAGGCTAGGGAATTTGTCAAATTTGACCAATCAACTTGACAACTTGTAGGATTTGTTGTACTATTTATTCAAAAATACTAATGACGGTATTGTTCATCTTTGCATAATAGTTTACACCGGTTTAGCGCCTGCCTAAATAGGCTGTGTTTACAATGTATTTTGTCTGTGTCAGTTTTAGCTTTTCATAAATGTATTCAGCCATAGTGAACACGAAAACTCTCATAGTCATCATACTTTATAAGAGGGG